TGTTTGCCTCTTGGTGTATTAAAATCCATTTAAATCTGGTCGGCAAGCAAGTCAGCGTCACCATCACACAAAAGTTTGTGCTAGATCAGGTTCTCAGAGATAGAGATAACAGGATTGGGAGCACATCCATTGAACCGGTGTCTGTAAGCACCAGAACGACCTGATGAAGGTAGGAAAAACATCCCAAGTAGCTAGCACTTTACAGGAGTTAGGAAATTGAACTTAAAGTGGCCTCAAGAATATGAATTGGTGGTTTCCCAAATACTGGGTGAAGTTCCAAAGGTTCCAAAAGATAGAACATATAGTACTAAGAAATAATTAAATAAAAAGTACATAGGAATACATGCATGTCAGAGGGAAAATAATGTGAATCTTAGCACAAAAGTGATGTCAAAAGCCAAACATAATCCTGGGATAGGTGCTCAGTAGTGTGATAAATAAAGACCAGGGAATTGTCTCTCTGTTTTAGGCAATGCAGGGTTATGGTGATTACACAATAGCCAAAATTATAGAAAATGAACAAAATTGTGGCAAAAAGACTATTATTTTGCTTAGAAAGAAAGAACTCTTTTTATATTTAAGTGCTAGAACAGGCTTTTGAGAAAATCTGTTTATTCCCTTCTTTGGGATCTCTAAAGATGAATCCTAGAATCCCTTCCAGCTCTGTAATGCCATGATTTAATCCTTGGTTTTAAGTAAATAAAAGAACCCTAATTCAGTGCAGGACACTGTCACCAGAAAATAATATATTTAATTGGTAGTTTATGAATGTGACCTTGGTTAAAAACAATGTCTCCACTATTTATTAACCAAGCGACCCTAAGCAAGCCTCTCTCAATCAGTTTATCTGTAGGATGCCTTTTTCAGAGGTCTATCCTGATGATAGAGTGGAATAATGTTTGTGAGCTGTTCAGCACAGTGCCTATCCCCGAGCAAGCCCTCTCAAAAGGTGGAAGCTTTCATTTACTGAGGAGTAAATGAAAATTAAATTAAAATGAGCCTTTAGAACAATGCCTGACCCAGAGTAAGCACTCAAGTTTAATGAAAAGTTATGAATTACAAATGGAATTTGAAAGTAATATAGCTTCTTTACCTTACTCATACAAGCAGTATCATAGTATCTTGGGAAAAAAATTCACCACTAATTATGTGTCTCTGGGCAAGTCACTAAAACCTCTGCATTTCTGTTTCTTCTCTGCAAAATGAGAGTGCAAGTGGATTAGATGACCACTTATGTGTCTTCCACCTGGTTCTAGAAGAAGTTTCTAGATAATACCAGAGCTTAGTATACACAATAAATGTATAATATACACTCTGTAAAACTCCAGTTGTGAACTAAGAAATAACCAGTGAGCAATAGTAGAATTAAAAATTAAAATTCACAATAGCCCTACAATATAAAGTACCATAAACATAAAAGTCTTTTCATTATTTAAGGACTGACTAAATAATGAATAATTGCTAGATACAGAATCAAGCACAAACATAGATATTTGAATTTCAATTTTCATATAATTTCCTTTATATTCACACTGAGAAATTATTTTGAGTCTCTCATTCTGTAAAAATCATGTAGTGAGTTTAAATAATCCCATATTCCAAATGTGAAGACTCCAAGCTAATGCTGCTTTACTGTGACTGAGGAGTCAGCAAATGTTTCCTGCAAAGGACCAGACAGTAAATATATTTTAGGCTCACTCAACCCTGCCCTTGTAGTTCAAAAACAGCCATGTGTAAATGAATGGCTGTGACTGCATTCCAATAGATCAGTAATTGTGGACACTAAAATTTGAATTTCATACTGTTTTTAAGCGTCATGAATTTTCTTTTCATTTTTTTTCAACCATTTAAAAAGCGTTAATACCATTCTTAGCTTGTGGGCTATACAGAAACGGGGAGTGTAGGATTTAGCCGATGGGCCAAAGTTTGCCATCCCTTGCTGTAATTACATACTTTGGGAAAGAATCTGATAATGTAGGAAATCCAGAATTAGCAGAATACCCCTCTGGGATTTTCCCTGGTTGGTTGGTTGGTGTTTGTTTTGTTGTACTGTTTTCATCTACTATGTTCCGAAGGTTTTCATCACAAACCAGGGACCCTTTCTCAGTCCTAGGGCAAGGGCAGGCACTGGGTTTAAGCATAAGTAAGGCAAGCCTGACACCTTGAGGTTGCTCTGCAAGTGGCAGGTGCCACCCTGGAAATTAACCAGCAAGGCCCATCTCCTGGGAAGTATGAATCCAGGAGGGGGCAGCCATTCAGATTCAACTCAGCAGTGAGCCAGCCAGCAGCTGTTGTTATTGTTGAAATGGGGCAGGATAAAGTCCACAGATCACTGTCTGACTTCTCTCTCCAAAGGGCTGTCTTTAGGGGCATTTCATTCTATTGAAAAAATAAATAACTTCCAGAGGGCTGGAAGGACAACTGAGACCGGAGGGCTCCAAGGACATTGAAGACTTTCCCTGCTCTGGATAAGTCTCCTGCCTGCAGTTATTCATACATTCCAGAGGATAGGAAGGGGTATGAAGCACAATGGCCCCATCCCTCTCCTTTCAGATGCTTACAGAGGAAAAAGAAGGGAAATGTATGGGACATAATTGCTATTGAAAATCAGATTTACTCTGGGAGATGGTGATACGGGGCTTTAAGAAGCAAAGGCCAATGATCAGATGTTACAAAAGACTGGAAGTAAATAGGATGACTCAACTGCCTATCCAGGTCAGACTCTCCCAGGATTATCACGCCATTGTGCTGGGATGCAGCATTTTGCTCCTTTTGGGAAAAGGATTGTAGAGGCCATTCTTTCCATACCCCTCTCTCCAGAAGTGTTTCCCGGGAACATCCGAGACTCGAGTTATTCTTATCTTGTAAATTATCCTAGAAAAACAATCCTACAGCTTGCTAGTTCATCCTTTCATCTAAATGAAAACCATTTTATTTATTTGACAGAGAGAGAGAGAGAGCGAGAGCAGGAACACAAGCAGGGGGAGTGGGAGAGGGAGAAGCAGGCTTCCTGCCGAGCAGGGAGCCCAATGTGGGACTCGATCCCAGGACCCTGGGATCACGACCTGAGCCAAAGACAGACGCTTAACGACTGAGCCACCCAGGCGCCCTTCCGTGTTTCTGAGAGTAGACAGAGGGGACACTTGGAGAGAATTTGGCAGGGTTTACCCCTGGTTCTGTAGTCACAAAAGTACTTTTGCATGTGTGAGAGCCTCCTCTTTGGAGGTGACAAGCCCTGAGGGACTCACATGCATGTTGAACGTCCATAGCTGTCAGTTCGATGGGCTAAAAAGAAGCAGGAAGGACCTCGACTGTCAGTACTCCCAACACAGGCAGAGAACTGGGTAGCTGGGCATAGGTGAGCTGGCAGAGGACTTAAAGGTCCCGGTCCCAGCGAATCTCCCACACTGACAACTCAGAGCAAGGGCAGAGAGGGGCGACTCTAGAGCCTATCCCTAGAGAGAACAAGACACTGAATCCGATTCAGAGCTGTGCCATTAAGATGAGGGTGCCATGAACTGCTGGGTTTTGTGGTCCTCCGTGGAGACAGCAGATCATGCCACTCCTCTCCCTGGGTTGCAACCCCCCTCATCCTAGGGGGAGATGTCAGGGTGGGGCAGAAGAAATCAATTCTCACACATTCGTACCCACAGCTGTGGACAGTGCCATGAGAGGGAGCTTGTAACCTTTCGTGAAGCCCCCCAGGGAACTGAGCAGTACCCAGATCAAGTTCTCAGGGCCCAACGTGCAGTTCCTGAAGATCTGCTGCCCTCCTAGGGAAATGCTTACCTTCCCTCTGGGGTGATTCCACTTTGCCGCCAACCGCACCTCTGATAATTAACCACTGTGCTGGGCTCTGCCCTGCAGCCCCTGGACAAGGCAAGTAACAGAGTCCTTGGCTGTGTCAACCAGGTGGTATTTTTCCCCTGATCCGAAGCTGGCGGTGAAAATGTGGGTTTTAGCAGGGAGCAGGATTTTAGCATGACCTTTCCTGCCTCCCTCTTTTGCTTGACAATGAAAAGCTCTGGAACCTCTCCTGAGACCTCTCTTCTACACATCGGATCCCCAACACCAGAGCTACAACTGTCGGATCCCCAGAGTGACTCTGCAGGGATGGGAACACTGTCTCTGGGGCCAGTGCAGGAGCCTCTTGGAGGCTCTTTTCTGGGCACTTGGCCTTAAAGGAGGTAGCGACTGGGGCCTCCCGAAGGACTCGGCCTGAAGGGCTAGTCCAGCATTGTAGGAGTTAATGTGGGACCGCGCGTAAAGGGAAGGGTAAAAAAGTTGGAGTTGACACTTACGAGGGGGGTGGGGGGGGGCGAGTCTTGCTGACTCCTGATTGGTTTTACATTTCATCCAAAAATTTTTTTTCTCTCCTCTCTCGCTCCCTCTTTTCAGTTTCTCTCTCTGATCCCAGGGGAGGGGAAACGGGAATAGTGAGAGATCAAAAATAAACCTCTTATGTCAAAGCCGGGAAGGAAGTATAAATACGAAGGGCTCGGCAGCCCACTCGGTGCTTCCCGGGGCGGGGAGGAGGCAGGAGGCGGCTGCGCGGGGACCGCGCGCGGGGCAGGGGCGGAGGACCGGCGCACGCGGGCCGGGGAGCCAGTTGCTCGCGCTCGGCTCG